AATCAAGAATCTCCAATTACTTTCAGCTGAATACTAAATAATTTTGAAGTTTATAAACAATATTAACTCGGTAGGTATCATTTATGGCTGAGTTCACAGAATAAGATTACATGACTTCTGCTTCTTTAAATTTTCTCCTGGTCCTTGCATCTTCATTTTAGCTTATCTCTGCTTCATGTTCCATGCGTCTATACCTAGACTTTTCCATTTCACCGTGTATTATGTACTAGAAACTTCAGAAGTATGGTGTGATGGAAACTGCTCTATTGTGGTTTAGGGACTATCTTTGGTGAATGGCTTCGTCTCATGGGAGATTAGCAGCAAGGTAGTGTTCTAGGGCCCCTATTATTCGTGTTGTACATTAATGACATTGACCAAATTGTGAAAAACTATTTTGTGAGGCTTTTCGCGTATGAAGCACTTCTATCAGTATCCGGAAAGAATTTCAATGAACTTGCTGAAACAATAAATTTCGAACTCAGCCTTTTACACAACTGGCTTTGCATTAATAAATTACAATTATACGTACCGAAGACTAAATACATGATATTTGGTACTAAATACAACTGCAAATTATTCCTGAAAGTAATTATCCAATCTACATTGATAATCTGCCAGTGGAGCATACTAATTAAATGAAATATCTAGGCGTAATGCTTGATTCGCAACTTAATTTCTCCAAGCATGTTGATTTCATGTGTGCAAAGATCGGCAAGAAGATAAGTTTTCTCAGAAGGGTCTCTCAAAATCTTAGCCATTGGACTCGACCTCTTATATTCAATACTATACTATACCCACATTTTGCTTATTGCAATTCACTTATAATATCTTGTAACAAGTCAGACGTACAAAACAAAGCAATGCGAACTATTTTATCTTGTTCCCGATACACTCCTGTGCGTCTTATGCTTGAATCGCTTAGTTGGCTCTCTATATCCCAGGCCATTGAAATATCTAACATTGTCTTGGTTTTCAAGATTCAACAGCAATTGCTGCCCCCATACTTACAGGAATATTTAATTCCAAGGTGCATATCAGATCTAAAAACACTTTCGATATTCAGTTTACCAGAACAACACATATTCAAAAAAGTCTTTTCAATAATGGCCTGAGACTATTCAATGCGCTGTCTTCCGATATTAAAAACTCACCCAATGTGCAGACTTTTCTAAAAAAATTAAAAAACATGTATCTGAACTTGAGTTGGATGTATACTACGAATTTTACATTCTTTGGTTCTGTGAATGTATAGTTAAGTAGTTAAGTATTATTATTATTATTATCATTAATATTAATATTATTATTATTTGTTAAATTTATTATTAATACTTATATTTTTATGTACATTTGTTTAAAATTTGTTGATGTCTAGTAGCATATTCTGCTAACAATAAACTAATTTCAACTTCAACTTTCAACTTCATATATTCAGTTCTTCCTGTCACTCTGACCGAAAGGTTGGGCATTCTTGAGGTGGCTTCTTAGAGAATTGGCCGAACTCAAGGCTGTTGTTTGTTTAGTTATTCCTTCCGGCTTCCAGTACTCTGTCAACGAGCTTAGATTCATTTGAAGATCGTCTTAGATGTTAGATGTTTCTATAGAACTATTCTCAATTTTTTCCCTAAATGTAACACTGCATCTAACATCTCACGCAAGGAATATAAACAACGCGCTAATACTGTTAATTTACTGTGACAAATTAAGACACAATTGGAAAACATACAGAATAACTGCGTCTTTCTACCAATGAAATGATTGTTTTTTTGAGAAACACGTTGCACACACAGGCCTTTAGTACTCTACCGGGTTTCTCAGTGTTTCTATTGCATTACGCCAAGGCTTGGCTTCTTTGTAGATCACGTAGCTTCGCGCAGCGACGAGCAAGACAAGTTTTTCGTTAAGTTATTGAACACCAAAATTGCAGAAAAAATCATATTTATGACCACCGGGGAGCGAAAGACATACTTTGCTCACTGACACTCACAGAAAGTTGTAGATCAATAAAAATTCATGAGGTTTTAGGTGTTCTGGTAGGATACTGGTAGAAAGGAAAGAATTTTATTTTATTTACATTTAGGAAAGTCGTCGTGGGATTAAATTGCATTTCTCAATAATTCTTAGTCGAGTAGCAGAAATGGTATGTATCATGATAGAAATACCTGATAATACCTTTCAGAATGCGACGATGTGGCTGTTTGCAGTAATAGCATTCAAGTCTAAGAAAAAATGTCATTTTACAGAGTGAGATTTTGAATGCGAGGAGAGCTCATGCAATATTTTGGAAAAATTTATAAAAATTAATCAGTCAAATAGGTTTCTAAAATAACAACACAAAAGTTAGTGAACATTTTTCAGAAAAGACACCCTGGTATTGAATTGAAGGCAGCAAGATGTTTTTTGCGAAGAAGCTTATTTACAAGATTAATCATTCATACGAAAATTCGGAGAAAACAATGATCTATCAAAAGAGATTCCACACTGATGTCACTGCCAATCATCCTGATGGTTTCTTCAGAATCAATTATCCGAAACGACGTTCATGTCCTCCTTTAGCTCCGCCTTCATATACAGAGTACAGTACAATCGGCGCCGGAGGAATTCAGAAGATTTGTAAATAGTAAAACTTATAAAGGCCAAATTATTTATACAACCATAATACTTTGGATAATTATAACATGGAGTCTGTTGATGCTAGACTGCTTGCCGACTATTTTCTCAATTACTTAACCAAACAGTAGCCGAAGGTGAATGTAGTGAATATAAGTTCCATAGGATGCGGCGCTCTAGGTAGCAAAATTGCTTTGTTTGTTTGTTTTTCTGGTATGCCTAGCACGGCTTATTTCATAAAACAACTTTTCTCTAAATTTGCTATATGTAATAATTTTTCAAATTACCTTCCAATTCAATATTTTTGGCGGTAAACCAGTCGATAAATTCTCCAAGATGAAGTTGGTGTCTTCTCTTGCCTCGTACACAAAGAAAAATAAATCAAACGAAATATATATTTTTTCCAATATTACTCTGTTTCTCTTTCTACCATAGTACCAAGGAGGCGCTTTGTGGTTATGCTCTTTTTAGATAAAAACTATATTTGTTTATATTTGGTAATTCAAAAAATTTTTACAGTTATCAACAGAAGAACTGCCATCCTCGTAAAACCCTATTAAAATTTTATTTAGGCAAAATTTCCCTTTTTAAAAATTAAAAAGTGGTGTTTTCACAGGTCTGCCTTGACTTCTCTTGGGAGGTTCCAGTTGATCTGCTGTCTTTCTCTACACCAAATGGCGGACTTTCCAACTGCAGTCATTCGACAGTTGCTTCACAGTTAAAATAATAACTTATTTATTTTCTTATAGTGGTACTCAGCTCGATTTTGTCAATAAACGTAAAGAGTAAAGAGTCTTTCTTGATAGTAAGTTTATTTTTTATTTTCACTTGTCTCATTTACTACAGAAGTTCTATGGTAAACTGAAAGTACTTTGAGTGTATAAAACGTTTTAATCTAGTGAGACTTGACTTAAATATATGCAGTTTGGAGAATTTGCAAAATGCAAAATGAGGAAGTGCTCTATAATATTTTCAAGTATGTAGTGTGACCGCTGCTATATAAACGTGGCTACATCTTGTTTAGTTTTTACATCCCCTGCATATCATTTTATTTTTAGATTTAACTCAAGAAATATAGCAGATTTTGTTCGGGTTTCCTTATTGCCTATGTCTTTCCGATATCGAATCGTTATAGAGTAGTTGTAAATGAACTAAAATTAAATTTCGATATTACGTAAAAATCATGGAAATTCATTTTTATTTCACATACTGTAATATCCAGGTACAGGAAAAGTTGAACAAAACTGGGTTAGTTTCTTTCCTATGATATACAGGTTGTGCGATTAAAAAAAATTACTCAAGTAATCAATAGGCATTCTAAGAAGAAGAAGATTTAAACTAAATGAAAGAGCACCCTGTATGATTTAAAGCAAAATCTGCTTTTCCGTTGGTCAGATACTTCTAATAAGCCATCGACTGTGCGCCACCCGGTATATCAAGTAAGATGGTAAGTGATCAAAAATGACAACAAAGCATATTTATTAGTTTCGGATTTACAACTAGGATCAAAAGTAATTTATTAAAATAATAATTTTGAAAGACGACGCAGATTACATGCCGAGAAAACTGAAAGAACACTATGAGAATTGAGGATTGAATATGAATATGCAGAAGACTGAATATATGAAAGTAGGACGAAAACACGAAGATGAAGATCCTGGACTATATATTAGAAAAATAAAAAGAGCTACAAATTATAAGTACTTGGGAAGCGTCATAACGGAACAAGGTAATTCAAAAACAGACATTCAAAACAGAGCTCAGCAGGGAAGAAGAGCAACTCAAGCGCTTAATTCCTTGTTGTGCTCCAACGATATTAAAACATGTATGAAAATTAGAATATATGAAGCAGTTGTGGAACCCATCTTAGCGTACGGCGCAGAATGCTGGCAAATGACGAAGAATGACAAGAAAGTTATCGACACAGTAGAAATGGATTTCTTGAGAAGAATGCCAAGTGTCGAGGTCGTCAGGAATGAAGAAATACGAACAAGAACAGGGAGAATACATACGAGCACTGACCGAATAGAAACTAGAAAACTTATATGGTATGGGCACGTACAGAGAATGAACGATGAGAGATGGCCAAAAAGAGCACTAAAATATACCCCCAAAAACAGAAGGAAAAAAGGAAGTCCTATGGCATAGGAAATATAATGAAGGACAGAGCAATTAAACGAGTGGAGGAATAAAGATAAATGGCGGTTGAAATGTGGGATGCGGCAGAAGCTGTAGCAACCCCTCTGTGTATATATATTTTGAAATAGTTATTTGTATCGAATTTACCATTTTCTGTGAAATAAGCGTAAAGTTTATTTCTGTATTTGATGCCCGATTTGCGATAACAATATAAACGAAGCATTTAACAGATATCATGAAATTCAAGAGCGTACCTGATTAAATTTAAATTCACCAGATGGTCGAGATCTTCCACCAAGGTCGATACGCAGGATTCCAGCGGGAGAGTTCCTCGAGCCCGAAACCTGCTCGCTAATTCTTAGCTTTTTGCGTTCCATATTGCAGGTTTCCGTGTTCGTGACAGGAACGAGGATGCACACTGGAGAATATTCACCGTCGGACAGGAAAAGTACAATTAACCCGCGACAAAAAGGGTACGAAGTCGGTTAGCGAGATTAAAACAAGCAGGGTATGTAAACGTCATTGCCTGTAATGAGGCCGCGCCCCCGCATTATCGTCGCTAGCAAATTAAAAACTGACCATACGAGCATAGTTTTCGCTCACGAGGTTTCGTGTGTACGTTATTTATACTGCCGAGAAGTAAAATAAAATTGTTATTGGTCTGTGGGGGCCAATAATATCCCGCTTGGATGTGCGAAAGGTCAAAATACCGGAACTATTTATGCGTCTCGAGTGCATTCGCCTACTAAAATCTGCAAAAAGAGGGTTTGTTTTAAATTACGTTAGTGATTTTATTTTGAATCTGATCTGGTGTGTATCAATGTATATCGTCTACAATGAAGTAATACATTACATTATGGGATCGTCAAGAACAAACAAGAAACGCATAACATAAATGCCATCTTTACAATAGACTAGACACAAAGAAGATAAATACAATTATTTGAGAGAAGAGCGGATATTTTAATTCTGGGTCCAGTGATTGGGGTGGAGAGTTTTACCTCTTTGTAAACAAGAAATAAAAAGAAACAAACAAAGCTAATGAAATTAGATTTGAAACCTCAAAAATCCTTAAAAATACCCCTAGATCTAATATTTCAAAACCTGAACGCGTTGCTCTAAATTCTCTAAAATCTAATCCCGACCTAGTAAGGAAATGCTATGGTAATAATGAATACAACTAAATATCAGCAAAAAAAAAAGATATTCTTACAACTTAGAGAAAGATCCTACGTCATGTATGGGACGCAATATTAAATCTGCTATTGAAGCTTCGTCATCACAATCTTCTAATAGCAATGAAATCGAAAGCAATCCCACACTTGGCACTGTTGTCCTTCATTACATTCAAAACATTGCTGACCACATATTAAAAGTTTTAAAGAAATATAACGTCACTTATCACTTGCCCAAAAATCTCTCAACATCTTCTATCCGTCAAAGACAAAATTCCATTTGAAATGCCAGCAGTTTACAGCATTCCATGCATATGCGGCAAAGAATACATTGGAGAGACCGGACGAAAAATATCAACTAGACTAAAAGAATATGAAAGAGCCTTAAAACTAAGACGAATAAACTCATCAGCAGTTGCCAAACACAATCACGAAATTGGTCATAAAGTTTTATTCGATAAAACTAAAATTCTTGCATGTAATCAATTCGTCTACTCACGAAAAGTCCGAGAGTCTACAGAAATTTATAAGCAACGTAACAATCTTAACCGCGATTCAGGTCTTTACTTGCCACCAATATGGGAAAAAGTCCTCCGAGACGGTGTTTATGCCCCTCATTTAGCTCCGCCCCTTCAAACAATAAAAAAATATATATATAAAAACGAAACGTTAGCTAGTTCGAGTCAACAAAAACAGACGCAGGAGGAATCCACAAGTACCCTAAACATAATTTCAGATTTATTAAAATCTGAGAATCTGGAATCAAATTTTCTCATCTTAAATGAAAAGTGCTGATCGGGAATGCATTTTCTGGTAACAAATGAACCAACATCAGGAACAGCTGTGGATTTTCCATTATCACCAGTCAGTATCTGAAAAGAGAGCCCTAGACACTTTGCACCTAAAACCAAAACACTTTTGTTATTTGGCTTATGGTCAAGAATCTCTCCGAGATTTTCTTTACCATTTCAACTCTATACACTCTATTCATTTCACATCACCATCCGGTGAAGAATTAATCGGTTAGTTTTGGTTAGCCGATATCAAAATGAATGGGAGAAGAAACTTCTGCTATTCTTATTAAAATGATACCGAAAAGTGAATATGTCTCTGTTTCCGTCAGGAGATTTAATAGTTTCTGCGAAATGTGTTTGGACCATTATAATACTGGCAGTGCCCTTCGAAGATACCAGTACTTGTGCTTCATGAAACCAGAATATTTTTGATCAACAATGAGAATGACAGTACCAAAGTTAATATAGACAAAAAAAGAATTCTGCAATATTAATTTTAACCTGATATTGACCACAGCCAGAGGGCTTTATTAACCTAGTGAAGAAGTTGGTAACATTGCATGTTTGTATTTATGTTACAGTAAAAAAGTTATCCGGTGGAAAAGATGAATTTTTAAAACAAAATAAAAAAAGTGAAATCCTTAAAGCATTAATTTCACATATCTAGAATATTAAACATTTTGAAATATAATTTTATTTTGAAAATTGATTTTATATAATTTTGGTAGGCTCATTTCAAAAATTATATGCATTTATTTCTATCACGTAGGGTTTTTTTGAAAATATTAAAGGAAAAAAAAGAAAAAAAACTTAACTCAGATTTTTTGAGTGAAATCTTTGTCTTTTTGTGTTGTCCGGACATTCGGCCGTGGGGGGCAATCCTGTTTTAAGCATCCAGCAGTTATCCGCCTCGTTCAGGAAATTAGTTCAAGTATGAAAACAGGAACAGCACTATCAAATTCATATTACAACCTAGACGATGAAAATTTTGCAAACATATTTTGAACAATTCGTTACCATTGTGCAATAAAACACATTTAAACTAAGCTTACTTGAGTCAATAAACAGGTGCCATTCTTACTAATCATGGAACTAAGTCAGTGATATTGTTGCAATACACTAGCGGTCCTTCCTGAGTAAAATATTAATATATCTCTTTTTCGCGCCTCCTGGAAAAGCGTGTCACAAAGTCTGGACGCTAACAATTGGAAGGAGCAAATCTGTGGAATCATTTAATTCGCTTTGGTAAAACACTTCGGGCTCTCTGAAAGCTGGTACGAAATCTCAGTCATCTGGGTCGGAATTAGATTCCTCTAATTCCGATATGACGTGTTCTAGTTTTTTCGGGGCGGTAGGTATCGGTACATCTGGTCCATGAGGAACTGGTAGAATAGCAGAGTCAAGTTTGGGATACACAATTTGTTTCTTATTTTTTCTGTTGAATCCTGGAACATTACGCGAACAAAAGAATAATCATCGATTCCTCGCCTATCGCCATACTATAGGAACACCAAAGCTTACCTTTTTGAAATGTTTCTTAATGCTTCAACGCAAACGGAACAAACATTATGAGGAGCCCAGGACTTATCTTGATCGTCAATTTTTACACCAAAATAAGCGTGGTATACATTTTTCAGAAAAGTTATAGTTTGCCTTTGCTTTACTACGACATAACTACCACAGATATAACAAAATTCATTTGGATTTGTCACAAAATGTCTTCTTTCCATATTTATATGTTCTAGAACACATAGAAATACGCAACAACGAAGACAACAGCCTCGAACACGGTAGCACCACGACCAATACAACCAAACTGCGCATAAGCAGGTTAGAACGCTGTATTGACGCTCTAGCGCCAACTCCAGAGAAATCTAATATTTTTTCTTGTTGCCACATCATATTTGATTTCATAAAAATCAATTTATTTAAAAATGATGCCTAACATGGAATAAACGTATTCATGTCATAGGTATTTATATTAATAAAATAACATTTTTAAGATATAGAACGCTATAATAATCATGACGTGTTAGAGCAAAAATATGGCGTTTTTTGGATAAAGGGCCCCTAAAGATATACGAATAAGCAAACGGCTTTCAAAGATTAAAATCGCTGTGTTTTTAAAGCTGTAAATGAACCGGGTGACATTTTTTGGGCTACATTTGCATATGCCATAGTGAAAATCAGATAATAAAAATATTTTAAAAATATTTAAAAAAAGCCTGAATTATATTCTTCCAGCTAGATGCGCTTTTTATTTAAAGGACCACTACAGAACAAAATGTTAAAAAGAAGTTATAGCAGAGGCTAGTTTGTCTACATTTTTTGTGGTGACTCATAGCAAGCCTTTTTGTAAAAGTTTAGCGAATTTTTAATATGTTTTAGTAAATGATTTAGGTACATCTAACATGGGTAAGGGTCGGGGCTGCATATGGCGTACAAAAACACAACCATTGTATGGAAATACTAGAAATTTATTGCTACGTTAAGGAAATTCGAATACACAATTTAATTAACTAATTTAATCAGTCAGAAACTTTTGGAAAGAACTTACAACTAGTCCGCAACAATCGGAATGTCAACCATATGTTTAATCAGCCTTGAATAAAATAATTAAAAAAAAAATCAAGACCAACACTGGGACAAAATGAACAACTTTTCAAAACTGAAACAATTTTAATCGTTGAAACTTCCAATCGTTGCACAAAATACATTAACACGCGGTCATTTTTCATGGGTCACACTAGCTCTCAAAATAATTAGAAAATATTCATTAAAACTTATAATTATTAATGGCCACCAGGGCGGGTAATTGGTCTCTTGATTTTGAAAACCCGGTTCCTAAAAAAGTTTTTTATATTAACCACAGTGAGTGCTATAGATGAGACAAATTCAAATATTATTGTTTAATGCTGTTTGCTCTATTTCTATCTCAAAGGAAATGATGGAGGATGTTGAAACATTTTCGAAAAAGGCTTATCGCATTTTAAAAAACTTGAAGTCGTTAAAAAGGGCTTTTCCTAGAATATCAATTATGAGTGGTGTGTCTGACATTACTTACTTTGCTATCAGGTGGCATTTTCCGCCGTAATCAAAAAAAGAACTAGGAAAAAAGAATAAATGCAAACATGCGACGTTTTCCTAACCTAAAATCTTTTAACCCAAAAATTAAAAAAAAATTTTGTTTGTCTTTATTACTTTTTTTACAAAAGCTTCCAAAATAACCCATTAGGCTCACACTAGGTTTTCATTTTATTGCCCGTTTTCAATTAATTTATAATTGTCACTAATTTTTTCATAAAAAAAATAGATTTAGTCAATTAACCAAAACAAAGTTGGCGGCTAACTAATTTTATTAATTATTGAATTATTTAGGTAGTAAAATCTATGTTGAAGTAATCAGTATTTTTGTCGCTCCTAATATGTTGATTACGTTGGATTACGATAAATTGGTCCGATTAAAATAAGACATTTTTAATGTAAAAAACATTTAACAAAATTAAACTATTTCAAAGGATAGGCAACCAAGAAACTTCGACAAGCATCAAATAACTTACTTCCTGATAATTGATGGTGGTAAAGGGTAGATGCCTATAGGATATTAAGTACGGTACTGGAAATCTAATGGAATTGCTTGGCTATATTTCCACTCCGTTTTTAAGGATTAACATATACATTTACGTAAAAAAGATGACATAAGGATACCATGAAACTACCGAGTAATAAGCGTAACTAATTATCTTTTAAGAATATCTCAAAAGTTATTTAAAACAGAATCGAAAATGAAATAGACATTTATAAGAAGATAATTTTTGGCTAGAAATTTCGAAACTCACCTTGCATTCACAGATTTAATAAAAGCTTTAGCATTGCCTTTAGCAAGCTATGGTCTGTACTAAGAGAAAATTGTGTCACATATCAGACAGTATTAACGATAGCAACAGCTTTACTAATTACAAAAGGTGCGCGATGGCTCCGACTCTCTTCAAAATATACCTTCACATTTAGGAGAGAAATGTGCCTTAGTACAGAAATAGACGGAGATAAAGTCTTTAGACTGCATTTTGCGGACGACCAAGTAAATCTTGCTGACGATGCAGGATGGATATGAACTACACATTTAGAATGTGTCATAGCTGGAATTGTGCTAAGAAATTACAGTTGGGAAAACGTGCAGTAAGGGACAGACATAATATCTTGTCTATCTTTGTAATTATTAGTGATGGCTTAAGCATCCAAGGAATCAACAGCCGAATGGGCGAGTTGCAGCTAGGCAACTACATTTAGCTTTGTGGAGCAAATCAATAAGAGAAACCACCAAAATCAAAATAAAAATAAATAGTAGAAAGTCAAAGACGATGAAACAAATGAAGAAACGACTGCTTGGAATAGAAATGGGGATATTGGAGAAGGTGTTATAAACTGACTTTAATGGACATGGTATAAAATGAAGATATAAGGGTCAGAACGTAGTAATGTCAGCAGAGCCATATTAGAAAGTAAAAAAGGGACATCTTATTTTGACTTTAAATATTATTTGGCATTCTAAATAATAAATTAGCGTTTAATTTGATATATATAAATTTAGAATTTCTTCCAAAAATTGAACATATTTTGAGTGTTAAATTCCACCCACACCATTTGGCTGCAAGGTAGAGCGTCACTCCACCCATATACCCTGTAGAAATAGTGCGAACGGCATTTAACAAAAAAGATTTTAATTTTTAATTAAGCTTTAAGATCTTACTAACTTTAACTATGGCTAATCTTGTAAATTATTGGCCATTCCAGAATGTCCATAATAATTTCAAATACCTTTTTTGGCGCGATTTACTCAAATCATTTCTTTCATCATTTCTAATTCATTCATTCGTTCCTAAAAGAGTTCGTTTCCCCAATACGTCGTTGACCTTTCTGGAACACCCGGTATATTCAAATAATTTAAAACATGTTTTTGAACAACCAATATTGCTGATAAACGAATATTCTGCTGTTCCATTTTTGCATTCGCTTAAAAATGGTCGCAAATTTACTATGGCTGTCATAAAAAGCTGCAAAGGGCTTCGAGGATCGCATGGCAAAGAGAACGTCAAAAGCTTTTAGCACCATACGCATTTCACAGAAAAGTAGCTTATGAGTTTATCGACAAGCTCTTTTTAGTTGAGCATATAAAAGCTTTTTTTACGCCGACCATTTTCAACGTATCAGAAATAAGGCAAAACAGAATTTTGCCTAGGAAAAAATTGTGAATAACGGTGGATGGTAGTCGAAAATTTGACCGTTAATATAAGCGGTGCTCTAGCGGTTCAAAATGTTTTAAGCAACGCGCTGTTGCCGCATCTTCGAAGAAGTAGCATTACCCTTGTTATTTTAGTAATAAGATGATCGACTATCCGATCTGTTGTTTGAGTCAGTTTGAATTTGAAACGCTAGGCAACACCGCCTAAATTAATTGAAAATAAGCACAAGTTGGAACTGTCATTGCGTGAATGTTTAATATATTTTTCAAATTCTCTATATGCCAAACAAGAAACTGAAGTTCATGCTGACTTATCCTAGTAAAGAAAAGTTTTAAGTTTTAGACTTTGTTGGTTATTATTCCTAAAGCTAAATTTATAAATAAAACAATTGTAATATTTTTATAAGTATTCGTAAATAATTCACTGCATGTATGCTCAAGTAAGTCGACATTTTGCTGACACGAACCTGGCGGAACAAACATTTTTCGAACACAAAATATTATAAGTTAATTTCACGATAGCCACCAAAGATAGGTGTCAAAAAATATTATACAAAACTAATGCTACTTATTCTTAGAAGTCGCTGAAATGATTTTAGATCGATAGATAGTGGCAAAAAAGTTCTGCGCATTAAAGTAGGTATGGCCACAATTCTGTAGCGAAAATCGCTTGTAATACTAAATGTACATTACAATACTTCAAAGAGAAACGCGATAATAATGGCTCTTTATGTCCCTTGTTAGGGAGGTGAGTTTACAAGTCACGGATGTCGTGTTTATAAATAGGAATTTTCAATTTAAACTTTAGTTCCTATTATAGTCAGCGCAAAAGCAGAAGCTTTAAAGTTATGACTGTCTACTGTTTGTGCTATTGCAAAGGCAGTCAACAATAACTGAGTTACGAAATCGCCTTCTAAGAGTGTGATCTACGTAACACTACGAGACGTATATATCTATAATCCTGCCTTCTTCTTGTAGGCCAACATTATCTTATATATTAAAACACAAACAAACATTTATTTGATAGCATATCGTTGAGAAGACTGAAGGCAAAGACTCCTGAAACTTCCTGATATTGATACTTAATGCGTATCATCAACAAAACAGGAAACTTTGTACCCATTTGTGTTCTTGGGTGAGAATTGGATTTAAAAAAAAAAATTAACCGCTCCTAGAAAATTCGTATCGATAATACCACAGCATGTTATTAACGAAGACATCTAATACTCAAAAGACACTTACGCCAGAAATGTGAAAAGAATCAGAAAAAATAATTGCCGAGTGGTATGTATAACAGGGGTAATGGACAACTAGGAGTTTTTTCCACTATTGTTCATGTTGACGAAGACTGGTGATTCTGGCGATTTTTTCAGCGACTCAGAATAGAAATATTATAGAACTCAGAAATTAATATATAGAGAAACTGGTCATAATTGTTTTTTTTTAATTAACATTAGCAATGAGCAAATAAAATGGAGTTGTTAATAAATATCTATAAAATCAAGTTTTGAAACAATGTTTATAATGGTTTACATGACATATGACGTGACTACAAGTTTATTTGCTATAAGCTGTATCTGAAAATTTTAATTAATTATTAAATCATAATTCGCTTCAAATACTCGAAAACCTTTTTTGTCACAGTTCTTGATTCCAAATTCTCTTACTTGTGCGGTACAACCATCCTACGGGTTGTTGTCAGCGCATAGTATGCTTACTAAATATAGCAAGCAAAACATTTGACAAATAAGAGATGGTGCCAGCGACATAGTAGAAGATATTAGCAATATTTGCGTTAAAATTAAATTAACAGGCTTTGTAGCTAAATGTTGAATTTGAACCGGCAGGGGACATCAATTTCCAAAAAACCCTCCAAGCTCATTCAATGGACGGATTCCCATTTCATTAAAAAAAAGAGAGGCATCAAACCAACAAAAGTTTCCTGTGAGTTTTTACATTATATGAAAGATTTACAATTTGGTTCAACTTCTTGGTATATCTCTTGATGTAAAATAATAAATGTTTTTATAAGTAGTTTTCTATTCCATCCATCTAGTAACTTTTTTTATTGATTTGAATCATCACTTGGGAAAATTGCATTCTACATTCTATTTGTACGAAAATATATGCTTATTTTGTAAAATTCGTTAAACTGGTTTCTCTGATCGTTCCTCTGAAGTTTTCAAATAATAAATGGGACCAGTCGTTTGCAGTCTATTTTACTCCATTGTTGCATATATAATTGACCGAATTTCGTTTTCCATAAACATCTTAGTTGTGGAGTGATAACCCATCAAAATGACCGGGTAGTGAGAGCGAACCTCAGTTTTTAATTGAAGTCATTGACGCTACTTAAAAATAAAATCCGCTATATAACTCTAGGGGGGTTAGGATATTCGTCAGAAGGTTGTCACTTTGCCTAGCTTCAACCCGAACAGTTTTCTTTGTTTGCGAGCGCTCAGCTTGGACAGCAAATTTCTCGTGCCTTCGAGGATTTCGCGCTCGTCGTCGAACTCGGAAGGATCCGCATCCTGACAGGAAACGAACCCGCTTTCCGGACGGGATATTGACATGGGTTCGAACAGCTCGAACCATCTTTCGACTTTGGCAGCAGAGCTAAGCTGGAACACAAAAAATCGTCCATGGATAAATAATGCCGTCTGCTTGGATTTGCGTGTATTGAAATTTTAGGAAAATAAGAAGAGATAATTATCGCAGAATTTTTTAAAAAAATATTCAAGGGTTTGGCAAAATTTCAGAACCTCCAGTGGTGTTCCTGGTACTGGTTCAAACCGCGGACCTGTTACAAAAGTATTTAGAAGCTTGCAATTATCAGTTTGGAAACTCGTAAAATGATGATATGATAAAAAAATTCTGCACCAACTTAATAATCTTCGTCGATATTTCTATGTAGACATCATTTTCATCTAGACCAAGATCTCGAAGCACTTTAATAAAATTACAAGAAGGTTGTAAAACAACTGCAGTTCACCTGTGAACTGTATTAAGTTAAATAACAGTGTGGTTCGGTTGACTGCTCGGTTCAAACCGGCTGGCAACACTTTTTGATATTTGCGCAAGTGCTCGAGAAAAAGAAAAATAATGCAGAGAATGTCTTAATAATCTTTTGTATGTAAATAATTCATTCAAAAATCAATTATTTTTGTAAATTTTATTTTCATCTTTTGAAAAAACGAAAAATAAAGCGACAATAAATAGAAAAGCAAAAATTTATCATAAATGTTACAACATCTAAAGTTGATAAAGTAAGCTACCGAAAAATGATTTGACACTTCTTGTTGGCCAGGTAGAATAACTTCTTTAAAATTTTTAACACAGTTAACTGCTGCTTCAACTACTTCATTTCAACTAAAGCCGTTGTATCCTCCACCTTATGTTAAGTCTTACTCCAAGAGAAAGTAGGGGAAACTGTGTTTTGATAAATAAATTTTCAGCTGGGGTTGGTGGATCCGCTGTCACCAACTAAAACACTATTACCGAAATGCTTACTTTCAAAAATTAAAAACTCTTCAATCAGCGTTCTATAACTTGGTGATCATTCCATGTTAAAAATATATTTCGCCTTTCCTTATAGGTGTTTGGTAATCTACGATTCATCACAATGTCAAATAACTCTAAAAAGTCTTAGTCGTCTGTTAATTGTTCAGAAATAGTCATAACTTTGATAATTTTTTTATTATACATTAAACAACAAATTTTCTTCTCTATTTGGTCGAGAGTTGAACATGATTCATCTGGTTAAACAACGGTTAGTTTAGACGTAAACTTAGAATAGTAGTGAAGCCAGCTTAAATCACACTTGTACAACCGGCTCTTAAACATGGAAATTTTTGCTTGAAAACACCAATTCAGCAGTCCATTACACGTCGAGTTGACTTGTGGGCCCTTAAAAGTCGCTGTGCTAAATTATTTTCATCTCTCATTATCGAGGAATGCGCCAATGCTTTAGAAGATAAATCAAGTCTCCTAAAAGAACCCCCATCAGGGTTCGGTCGCCAACCGTCTTCCAATCTTCTACAAAGGCCAGAAGTTCGTAATGCAATTGCGTCAAGCACTGATCTAGGCCAGATGCCATTTACCTAAAATAATGATAAATCTGGAGCCTACAACTCCTGCTTCTTCACCTGCTGCATCAATAGGCCACCAAGCTAAGTTGTTTAATAATTGATTATTAATTGAGTTAATTACTGTTTTTACCCTGGGTTGCTTTTGATACACCATACATATAAATAATAACATGATAAGATGCACCAAACCAGTGAAGAGCAACTTGGGATTCTTTGGAATGGGTGTTCCAAATGTGAACTGGATAAATTTTCGAATTTCATTACAAATCTTTCGTTAAACTCTCTCGGGAACTCTCACTCAAAAATTGGAGGTCTTAACACAATCACATTTTCGTTATCAGAGCCGGAACTGGTTTCTTGCTACTACAAAGAATAAAGAATAAATTACTTAATATATGCAGAGTTAGACTTAGATTTACTTTTGTAGTCTTTTGGTTTGTGGTTTTATTTAACTGATGCCAATTAAGGTTATTCGCCTGAATTGCATTATACTGATTTTTCACTTTTATCTTCCAAACGGTTCAAAATTGGTATATTATATTATAATACTTTTAGATTGGGAATAAACATCAAATCTTCCTTAGTTTGCTCTGATGTCTAAACCGTATTTTTACCTTAACAAAATGGTTTTATGACAAAATATATCGTTATGGCTGAGTTACATCGTTATTTTATTATTTATTATATTATATTATTTAAAATACATAAAAAATATGATGAAATTTGTTTATGACCATCTAATTATAACAAAAATTTCAGTATTAGATTATTAATTAATCACCAAACAATACAAGACATAAAAAATCACAGTTCATTCATAACGCCCTACAAATATGGTGGAAAAATAAAATAGATAGAAACAATAAAATATTATGGAAGTATTAGTGTGAGAGTCCATTGAGGAAAATTGTGCAGTACAGTATCTTACACTTTCTGCATATATATTGTTTTAATGAGTGGAGAGGATTGAACTAGATTACTCCTCTTTTTTTTGTTATATTTTATGTTTTATTTAGAAAATTTTGTTCCCTGCATTTTTTTCATTATATTTATCCTTTCCAAATAAAAAAATAAAGGCGTTTCTTATTATTGTTTTATTAAAGATTGTTTTTTTTTTTGAGATATTGTGTTCCTAGACACACTTTCCAGAGATCTTTTAGATATAACGCAGTTAGAAAGAATATTTTATGAAATACCTTACGCTATAACGTCCCTCCCCACAATAAAGTCCTTCAAAAAAGCGTTAATGTTGTTTATTAGGCCCGCCAGTATCTAGCAAAAGCGTATGAGTTTATGCGTCTATTTCTTGTATTTACGATGTATATACCGCTATAGATTTTGTTGACAATTATGGTGTTGATGCTGTTGTTCTTGGAGTTGTTCTTGAAGAGCGCAATTTGCGAATGTCGCCACTCTTGAATTATTACTTATATTGAAATATTGTGATTTTCAATAAAGACAGTTTATTATTATTATTATACAATGATTTGAAAAATATATCTTTATTTTATGATTTATTTAGAAACTTTTGTAATAGCACTTTCCGATTAGAAATAAAACTATAAAATCTAACGAGATAAAAAAATCTAGTGGGCTGCTGTCATTGTTATTATAGCTATACAAAATGCGACTAATTTAATCAACAATATATCATATAATCATGAAAATGTTCAATTATTATAGTTTTAATTCAATGGATAAATTACACTAATGCGGAAATGGCAGATATTCATTTTATGTACGGGCGTGTATGGTTTAAATACTCTCTTTTCGGAAGAAGCTAGTTTCCAAAGGCATGCAATTCAATACTGCATACAGAAATGTATCGACTAAAGGTAATCCGCATCAATAAGATTAAATAGTGGGTCCCATTTTCGTTTTGTAGTAAAACAATTACGTCCTTTGTTAGAAAATGTACCCCTGTTATCTAGAAGGGACATATATCACCCAGCACTTTCAAAATAAAAGCAGTATGTAAGAAATGTAATCAGGTTGAAGAAAAAAATTATGGACCAATTTCCCTTTTTGAAATTTTGAAAAAACGATAAATTATCGCCAATTATTTGGAAGCGGGTTCGTTAGTTGAAAATAATTGGAATCGGATTAGAAAGGACCTGGTGCGTATACTACAGTTACTTAATGACAAAAACTTAATGCTTGGCATTTGTTTACATTTATCAAAAGTTTCAACATTATAACTGATAGGATACTTTTATTAAAATTAGAAAGGTGGGTGTGCGAGGAAATACCTTACATTTGATTGGCTCATATTTACCGAATCATACTCAATAATATTTAGGACAGATTCTTATTTCAGACATATTGTTTCTGATAAGATTAATATCGTAAAAGGGTATTCTATTTTGGGCCCTCTGTTGTATTACGTAACCAAATGAATGCTGTACTATAAATAGTCTATATACTGTATTTTACGCAGATGATAAAACTTTCATTTTTAGTGGAGAAGACGCTGATAAAATACAGGCAAATGTAATACATTCTTGAGATGCTCTCGATCCGTACTTCTCCAGTCATGGGCTAGAAATTAATACAACACAGTATATTTTCTTTCTTGGACTTAAAATAGATTGCGATCGAGAGTTTGGTAGTAAGCTTAGCCAAATACTGCTATACAATGAGGAATCAGCAGTTCTGTACTGATGGGTTTCGTTCAATCTAAACTAAGATATGGCTTCTGTTTTGGGGCGACTCTTCCGATTTTGGAAGCATCTTGCTTCTGTATACGGAGTATCTTTGGAATGAGTTATAGCGATAGTTCTAAACCTGTATAAACTGGATTCCTTTATGTTTTATGATTACATGATTATGTAACTAGCTATAAATCAAGAGAGATGTAACTTATGTAACTTATACCATACCTAGAAAAATGTTAACTAGTCTATAATTACAATCTATAATAGTTTTTCAGAAATTATTTGTAGCGTGCAAAAGGCCACTTATTCATTGTACGAATTCTTTAGCGAGAACCATAAATCAAATTTAAAATTTGCAGATGTATATGTATTTTTATCTCAACTTCTAACTTAATTATAGGAATGAAGGTTTGGAGATGCTCTGTATTTTTTATATTTTGTTGGGACTTTCTTGTATTGTTCTTTTAGGTTGCTTTTTTTTTTCTTTTTTTTTATTGTCGTAATTTGGAACCAATAAACGATTATTTATCAAACCTATCTAGCCTAATGTGAGTACGTAAAAAACCATATCCAGACCCGTTTTTGCCTATTCCGTATGTCAACACATAACCAAATTACAAGGGCTGTCTAAAAATGCAAAAATTTTGAAAATCATCCCGTATCTAAAAATCCAAGCTATGATACTGTGGTACCTTCCATCGGGTAGAAAAGGCGCAACCCTCCTTTAAACAAAACTTTTAAAAAACAGGATACATCTTATGTGTCGTATCCAAATCTGAAATATCGATGACAAGGGAAACATGCAAAACGATAAAATATCCATAACAAGTTTATATTACATGTTAACCATAATATTTCGGAGAAAAAATAACAATGACT